AACCAAAATAAATAGGTAGATAGATAGATAATTGATAGATACATAGATAGATAGATACATAAGTAAATGATTATACAATAGTTCAAAGATGCCTTATTTCCAGGAACATTACTTTTTTTAAAGTCTGAAATAGTTAAAAAAAAACTTACAATATGCTATGGAGGAATATAAAGAAAAAATGTGTACAAAATAAAGTACATTTGATATCTTCCAGTGATCCACTCTGATGAAGATGTCAGTTATTAACAGACTAACCTACACTTCTAATACAAGTCTAGTGAAACTACCAGCAAACTTTAATTAGAAACTCAAAGTGAATCAAAAGTTCTGTTGGAAAAATAGGTAAACATAGCTCAGAAAAGTCAAGACCATAGTAGGGTGGATCCTTCAAGTATCCACACATGACAGGAATTCCATAACTAAAAGAGTGTGATATGTATACATCAGCAAGTAGGCAGACATTGGAACAGGTCATAAGTGCCTGGAAGGAATATAAATATATATGGCATTTACTTTTATTTTAGAAACAAAAAATGTTTACTTAATAAACTGCCAAATCATTAGTTTAAAGAGGTTTGTATAGGTAAGGAAAAACAGGTCGTGCAATATTGTCGGGAGACCTGAGTCACCTTTAAGGGTGAAAAATAACAGCTACACATATTATTATGAGGAAATTCCAAATGTATCAGGGTTCCAAATGCTTTGTAAACAGTCAAGCATTAGAAACAACTGTAGAAGGAAGGCCTTTCAATTCATTTGGAACCAAGGAGATAACTTGTGAAAGGCTGTGGCTGTAAAAGATAGATGTGGTGTGACTAGGACACCGCTGAGTGGGAGAACACTTGTCTATCATGAGTAAGTCCCTGAATTTGATATGTGATACCTATAAATGACTAAACTAATAAACGGATTCAGTGAAAAACAAAGCAAGCAAAGTCAAAAGATAAATATTGAATTGGGAGAAAACTCTATGAGCATATGTCACATACAAAAGTTCATCCCTCTAGTGGGAGAACAGAACAGCTGGAAGAGAAAACAGGCTAAGGATACATAAAATTCAAAAAAAAGAGAGAATATGACCCTCCAAAAAATACATTAAGTAACATAATCACAAAAAGAAAGATTAAATTTGAACAATTCTCTGTTTTAGAGAGCAAATATTCCTGGACTTGTTGCTCAGAATATTAAGTGGTTGCTACAACATCTATGAAGAGTAGTTTGGTAAAGTTTGCACATATATAAATTCTGTAGCTTAGTTCCCAAGTTTGCGATGTGATGCACATAGTTATTTGTTGAGCACTATTTAAAACAATAAAGCCATAGAAGCATACTAAATGCACATTAGTACCTACCACTGTGGTATCAGTTAAATATAGGAGAGCTCATCCTCATACTGGTACAGGGAAGACTCATACAAAAGGTGAACTTCTTCCAATACTCATTGACGTACAATGACTTTTAAAATTACAGGAAAGTCTACATATGTAGATATACATACATATGTACATCCTTTAGACTTCTGAAAAGATACATAAGACACTGACAACCCTACTTCTTAGGGAAAAGAGGAAGTGGATAGCAGGTATACTAGTGGGTGAAGGGAGCTCTGGGTTATGAAATTTTTAACATATCTTAACTTTTAAAATTTCTTAATAGGATAAATTCCATGGCTCTGAGGTCCATAACCAGCAAATGAAACACAGCGAACAATACAAGCAAAAGACATGTATATAATGATGAACAATGAGGCAAAATCAGCCTTTACATCCCTGTCTTCCTTCTGAGTACATACACTCCTCCTTTAGCAATAGCCCCATGCATTTCCGTCAGTCTCTGGACTTGTCCTCAAAGCCTTGTGTATCATTTATCTCAATGGGTATCTTTACCCTTCGAATAATTTCTAGCCAGAGTAATATTGGTTCAATGTGTGTTCTGTGCTGTTTTAAGGAATAGGTTCTCGAGAAGCCACTATTAAATTTTAGAACAAGATCATACTAAAATGACCCCCACAAAACATTTAAAATCATGCACTTGAATCAATCATAAGAATATGGATATCTTTTGAAAAGTATCTTAAACAAACAGATTAAACAATCTATTACTGAAAATTTTGAATGTGTTTACAGTCTATTTTTCACCATATTAAGGTTCATTTAACATAATGGCAATTTGTCAACAAATTAATGGGCCCGATGAATTCTTCCCTCATTTTTTTTCATAAAATTAAATGTATTTCTAAAACTTTTATACATGTGAATGGTATTTACATAATTTCCTCCTCCTCTCCATCACCCAACATCTTTCATGTCACCCAACTTGCTCCTCCCAAATTCATGTCTCTCTTTATCATTACACACACACACACATATATATGTATATATGCAATATATAAACACAGATATACATATGTATGTAATATATATATACACACAGAGAGAAATATATACATAAAACCTGCTTAGTTCATGTTGCTTATATGTATATGTTTTTAGGGCTGACCACCCTTGGTATTGGTGAATCAAGTAGAAGGCTCATCCCCGAGGATGACTAATTCTCTTTTTGTCTGAAATCAATAATTATTTGTGTCTTTTCTTCTGGGATAGAGATGGGAGTTTCCACATGCAAGGAGACATGTTGACTTGTGTTATTGTCCAGGTCTTGTTTGGGTAATAATATTGATGAGGCTTCCCTGTGGTGAATAGAAGAAACTATCTGCCAACAGATTTCCTTTTCCTCTAATGCTTTCAATTTTCTATTATTTTATCTATTCTATTTATAGAATATATAAATTTATATTCTATTATTTTATCATTATAAGTAAGCATACTTGCATAGAATTTATAAAGAATTATCATGCATATTGCTAACATGCACATGTTTTTTTTACTTAAGGATGTATAAAATATTTTTAGTCACTGTCATGTAAAAAAGGAGAAATTACATGCACTATTGAAGACACAGTGAAAAGTGGCAGCACAAATCATGAATTTCTAAATGAAATTCTGCTGAATCATCTGGTAAGTTATGTAGCAGGATGTTAATAGGAAAAATATTTAGAATAGTCAGATTTTTAAGTCAGGAAAATTAGCACCTAGTCCCAAACTCATTTTTACATATGAGGAGTTCTGAGGAGCAGCTAACAAAAGAAATAGTCCCTGTTTCAAGGCTACACAAACATGCAACAAGAAGGTGTGGAACCAAAACTGAACATTTGTTTTTCTATGTATAATGCATGGAGTCATAGGAAAACATATATTTGTGTATATCTACAGAAAATAGGTATAAAGTATATTTATCTACATATATCATAATAGAGGGAGTCTTATAAATTAAACAGAGGTTAGCCCATTTTCTTCCAGTTTTATTTTGATCTATTTATTCATGTCTTTTTTTCCTTTTTCAGAGAAATGTTTGCCTTTCCAAACATCACATTTTATTTTAGAAAATTAAATTTTAGAAAATTAAATTCAACACACTTATTTTAAATGCTAATCAGAATGAGAAAATCTTTTGAAACCTCTTGCTCTTTTTTTGCCCATTTTCTATAATATAAAAACCATCTGAACTCTGAAATGCATTTTCTCATATGACATGAACAAACCTGCATTCTTTTCAGACAGGGCACCAATGGACAAACTACTACCGCTGAAATGCTTCTCAGCTTAGCTCACTGAACTAATGCATTTACTGAATTGCTTCCAGAAACATGGGTGAGTCAATGGCAGAAAGCAGCATCTCTGGAGCTTTTTGCTCAATTTCTAGGCCAACTGTGTGTGTCACAGTCTCCTTTGCCCAAGTTTTATTGCATATATAACTTCAGGGTTAGCCTTGTGAATCTTTTATGAAATTATTTAATTTCCTAAGCCTTATATGTTTGTTTCTTTACTGAGTCTTCAGGAGTCTCCTTCAGGTTAGCAGGTTTAACCAATAAACCCTTGAGAACAACCAGCACAAGAAATACATAGCCAACAGTAGGCAGAGAACATGAAACGTGAGATAAGACAGAGGTGGGTGATACCTGTTGGTTTGCAAAGATGTAGCCAGAATGAAAAAATCATTTGTTTTGCATGGGTATGGTGTGCATATATGTGTGTTCACATGATCGGGTACAGACTTTTATGTGTGCCTGTGGACATCGGGGATTAGTGTCTGGAGTCTCCCTCGATTGCCTTCCATGTTATATGTTGAGTCAAGGACTCTTAACTGAATCCAGAGCTCAAAGACTTGAATACTGCAGCTTTAGATGCGCTGTTATATCCACCAAGCATTATATGAGCTTTCCTTACATTTCCCGCCTAGCGCTTTAACCATTCAGCCATCTCTTCACCCCTTTAAAGTTCATTCTGAAGGATAAAAATGCAAAACTGTACAAATAAGTCACTAACACGAGTTTGCCCCGAATTTTCTCCTGAAGAAAACCAAAATCATAAATATGACATGTGAGAGCAAGCATATCCTTAATAAACAAGGAGAGATCAAAAGTATTCAGGTAATTCAAACGCATTTTTAATATATTGATCACATTTGTATATTTCTTCCAAAGTATATACAGTGTGAAAACTTTGAACCTGTAGTGATATAGAGATGCAAACACAGCTTTAACACCAGTCTTACCATCCAGAAAACTAGCTTGATGAGAAACGGCAGAATACTTGGAACTACAATAGGTAAACACTTGGATAAGAAGGTATGAAATGTAATCTTTGATGCTTAGACCTCATGCCAGGATCTTAGTTTGTGTTAGTCGGGAAGCTTAGAGAGCCATATTTCTCCTATAAGGAAACTGAACTCTAAACTTTCAGAAAGTGGTCTAACACGGGTTCTAAAACACCCGGCTGAGGCAGCCTGGGCTTTTCAGTCTCTGAGTTACGGTCTCAGAAACCTTCCAAAGCAGCAGCAGCAGCGCCGCCCTGTTCCGCCCTTTGATCTAGCAGATCGCAACTACATTTCCCAGAAGCGCTGCGGTTACTGCGCCAGCGTATTGCTTTCCGGCAGCATTTTACGGCAGTTCACCCTTCTGACATGGGGTCCTCGTGGTCCGTGAGCTCTGAGCTTTCCGCTGCTCCTGCCGCAGCTCCTTCCGCAAACCAACCTGCGAAAACGGCCGAGGACCCCCCGTTTAAAAACTGCTGGAGCTGTCGTGTGCTTTCAGGGTCTGCGCTCTTTGGGGCAGGCGCCTATGTCTACTTGGTGGCCAGGAGGCCCATGAAGCTGGGAATCCCACCTCGCCCAGGAACTATAGCGCAGATGGTCGTCGGCATCAGTGAGAGGGGCGGGGACGGATGGGGCGGAGCGAGGATGGTAGAGGGTTCACGGGGTTTATGAGGAGAAGGCGCTTTTGCCCTCACTGTCCTTTAAGATAGGTGCCCGAATTGTCGATAGGTTCTTAAAACTTGCGAGGGTTAAATAAAATGTCATATACGGAGCGCTGGGTTAACACAAGGTTAAATACAAGATGCAAAAGGCACTTTTTTTTTTTTTTTTTCCTTCAGGTATTGCCTGCTGGGGAGTAGTTGTCCTGACAGACCCCAAAGGGAAAGCCTACCGAGTTGTTTGAAAGCTCAATATTGTCTTCTATTCATGACTGCGCAGCAGACAGAACAAGTTTTGGGATGGTGGATAATCTTTGCACACTGGGACAAGGATGCACTTCACTATACGACATACGAAGAGAACTGTTAAAACATGAGATGTCATCCTTTGGCTATGGATGTTTATGGTTTTACTCCCATAGATTATAAAGGGACAGATAAATCCCTTAGAAGCAGACATGGTTCTTTGTCTTGTCCACGGAGGTTATGTGTAGTTCAATTTATATTGAAAGATAACAGCTTCGAGAAAATATTAAAATGAAGTAAATGATAAACCAATAGTGAAATAAGCTATTTTATTATAATAAGTAATTCTTTTTGTTTTTCTCATTGTATCAACAGCTATTGCTAACCTATCACTGGATAGGTACATGAAAAGAGATTGCTCCTCTGATGTTCAGAATGGTTATTGAGTAAATGTTGTCTTTACTTTAAAGTGTCCAGCTTCATTAAGCCGTAATGAGAATCAGCCTGTACTTTAAAGCTTTCATGCTTCACGAACATACTAAATAGCATCAGTTTTTTCCGTATAAGGATATATTTTGAACGGCTTGTTAAATGTGACTACCGTCATCAGTTATCTTAGTTAGATCTGAGGCTCCTGCTTTAGCTTCTACATCAGTGCTTGCTATTTTGCTTTGCACTTTTATATTATGGTTATGCCTTTCACTAAATGTCTGTAATTTTTTTATTATTATTTTTTTAATCTTCAGGACCTTCCTCATCCATCAGTGTTTAGAGAATTGAAGAGGGGTAAAGCCTTGCTCTTGCTTAGGTTTTGTCTTAGCGAAATGTGGCTGGCTGGATCTTCTGTCAAGATGATAAATTTTCACATCCGCAAAAAGGCTTTTTTATTTTTGGTTTACAGGAGTAACATGTTTCCTTTGTATTTACAACTTGGCTGAAAATTTGGTGCGAGTGGGTCTAACCTGACTGTCATGCCTTTCTACATGCTTTCCTTATAAACATTACTCATTTCTAGCTTTTCACTATAGTGCAAGCTGTGTGACTCTTTGACTTGACAGTTAAAGATTCCTAGGGTTATTGAACTAATTTAAGTAATGCTTTTCAGAATAAACAGGCTGTGATGTGGGATGGGAAGAGATGGAGCAATGTACACATCTTTTAGTGAAATTCAAGGTACCTCAAACAATTATAGTCATGATGCTGAGATCACAAATCAAGATAACAAAGGTGGTAATCAAAACTTTAATTTTTTTTCTTGTATTTTTTTAAATTTATTCTTCTCTTATACATTATATACTATCCACAGTTTCCTCTCCCTCCACTCTTCCCAGGTTCTTCCTCTTCTCCTTGCCCCCCCAAATGGACTCTTCCATTTCCCTTCAGAAAAGAGCAGGCCTTCCAGGGATGTCAGCCAAACATGTCATAACAAGTTGCTATAAGACTAGGAACAGACATGCTGGGTAAGGCAACCCAGTAAGAGGAAAAGAGTCCTAAGAACAGGCAAGAGTCAGAGACATCACCCCACTTCTGCTATTAAAAGGCACACAAGACCAGCAACCTCAACAACCATAATACATATGCCAGGGACCTAGTTCAAACCCATACAATCTCGAATTGTTGCTTCAAATCTCTGTGAGAACCTATGAGCTTTGCTTAGTTGATTCTGTGGGCTATGTTCTAGTGTCCTTGACCCCTCTGGTTCCTATAATCTTCCCTGTGGCAGGGAACCCAGAGATTGTGAACTATAAAAGTGTTTCTTCTTTGGTATGGCTCAGTCTTAACACCTACCTTTTTAATACAAGAATATTTTATTTATTGTAAATAGGTGGTTGTGGTGTGGCTTAGTCCTAGCTTACACCTTTAATCCAAGAACTTTCTGAACACAGGATTAAATAAAGGTAGCCATAGGTCAAGAGTCAAGCAAGAAACCAGCTGAGGGAGTAAATAGAAAGGAAAACCATTGAGTTGAAGGCTGTGGAGAAGAAGAGGCTTTTTGGCTTTTGCCATCCAGGACATGAACTGAGTAGAAAGGTTTTTTTCTTCCAGGGATGTAGTCTGAGTAGGAAGATCAGCTGGGTGCGTTCTCTGCCTCTCTAAGCTAATAGGTTTTCATTCCAGCATCTGGTTCCTGAGTCTTTATTGGTAAAATCAAATGAATGGGCTTTTTTTTTTTTTATAACAACTCTCCCTCTCTTCTGCAGAGCTTGAGCTCTGCGTAATGTTTGCCTGTGAGACTCTGACCTGCTGCCATCAGTTGTTGGAGATGAAGCTCAGTTGTTAAGAGTGCCTGCCGTGTATGGAGCCTTGGGTACTGTCCCTAGGACTATAGTATCTTACTACTATGTAGTATCTAGTACTTACTACTATGTAAGATACTATAGATGTAGTATCTTACATCTCAGCAGAGGTTCAGAGTCATCCTTGAGTATGCAGAGGTTTTGTGGCCAACCTGAAAAACCTATCCAAAAAAAAAAAAAAAAATGGTGTTGAGGTATGAGAATCACCAAATGTGAAACAGACATGCAGAAGACCCAAGTTTGGTCCCCAGCACCCACATCAGATATCATAACCGCCTAATGCTGTAGATCCAAGTGGACCTAAAGTCAATAAGCTCCATGGACACCTACATATGCACACATAGTCTCACACACACAACTAAAAACATCTTTTTAAAATGCTGTATCTGTATTTTTAAATAAAATGAAAATAAAAGGAGGTAGGCCTGGGTCATACTACCATTTAAACACTTTAATGCCTTAGAAGTTTTTATTTATGAATAAGCTTTTTCCTTGTGAACTTTCCTGTTCAAAACATGTGTTTGATTCTTTCCACTTGGAGCAATTTAGTTGGCTATGAACAAAGCATTGTCCTTATTAAGCTTGTCAGAATAAGTAAAGAAACAAAACTTTTTCAGAATTTGTATTTTAAGAGCTCCTTTAAAAAAAAAGAATACTGTAAAACTTGAAGTACTTAACAGATAATTTCAGTTGTTTGTTTGGAGTTAGTCTGTGATCTTTACAGGAACATTTTAGGGAGGAAAGTTCTCCCTGATTCCCCCCGCCCCCGCTCTCTAGCTGTCCCTATTCCCCCTTTTTCTATGTCCCCATTCCCCTCTCCTCCCACTCTTTTAAGTTTTACTCTTCCCCACCATCCTTTGAGTAATACTGGATAAGCTAAACAGGCTCCATAAAGAATTCAGTAATATTTTGTAGTTTAAGAACTTCAACATAATTATGGGTAGTGAGCTTTTGAATCCCCTTTCTACATAAAAATTTCTAATTACATTAATAAGGAAATAAAAAATCAGCAGTTTGAAATACGCTTGTTTCTCTCCCCCCCCCCCCCCCAGAACTTAACCAAAATGTAAACACATGTTAACGTGGAGTGTTTGCAGGGATAAATGAGTATGTGAATGCAAGAGAATAAGCTTGGTCAGGTGTTTCTTCAGGCAGTATTCTGTTTTGTTTGACAAAGGGCCTCTCACCAAGCAGGCCAGGCTAGATTGGCTGGAAAGCCTGCTAGTTGGATTACAAACTTGAGCCCCATCCCTTGATTTTTTTTTTCTTTTTCTTTTTTCTTTTCTCTTTTAGATTGTGCCTGAGTCCCAAACTCGATTCATCATCCATGCAATGCAGGATATATGCACCTATGTTGTTTCTTTTTCAAGACTTCTCATAGTGAAACCTTTACACCCTGGGTGTAAAGGTTTTTGACATTTTGAGATAATATCCTTTGTTCCTTTTATATAGTGTGTGAAGTTCTTTGGAGTCTTGTGATTAGCTAGCAATGTATATAAGCTTATTAAAGGAACCAAGTACAGTGAAACCCTCAAGAACCCTGGTAATGTACAGATGCTGAGTTAAAGGTTTACTTCTTAAGCAGTTGTGACAAATGTTGATGGCAGCACCACTCAGGTCACCTGGATAAGCCTTCTCGTAAGGAGATCTATTTGTAGTAACTCTGGATTACAGGTGAGCTTCTTAGCCAAGGTTTTTCTTCACCACCCTCCTCCATTTAGCTTTTGTTCCCTGCCCCTTTTTATTAACTTTGTTTGTTTGGTTATTGTTGTTTTGGATCGCCCATATCTGAAATAGTAGCCTTAGGAACACTGCCAGTTGATTGACAACATAAAATATGTTGCTCTTAAATGTGTTTCCAGGTCAGTTCCCTGCACAAGTATCCTTCAAACTAGGCCCTGACAACATAAAATATGTTGCTCTTAAATGTGTTTCCAGGTCAGTTCCCTGCACAAGTATCCTTCAAACTAGGCCCGGTGTCAACCGATCTGTTGGTACCACTATGTTAACCTACCACTTCCCAAATCAGTGGACTGAATGGTAAGCAACTGTGAGTTGAAAAGCTGTTTTTTTAAGTGACAGATAAATCCTTGCCTTGAACTAATGATTCTTTCTATAGGTGACTAGGTTACATAGTCAGAGGTGAGACCTATCATTAAACATCATTCTGAGTTATGAGTGGCAGGCATAAATATGTTACTCTTCTAAATGACACATATCTTAGCCTTATTCAACAGTTCTTCATTCAGATGTAAATAGTATAGAGGAAGAGCAAAAGGACAGATGTTAAATGCAGCAGCATCACTAAAAATGACTGGTTAGTCCTGTGACAAGATTTCTTTTCTCTTTCCCCTTTTTTTTTTTCTTTGTACCTTGGCCTGGTTGTATTTAAATATAGTTTAAACCATCTGAAAAATTCCAGATGGAGAGATTAAGTAGAGAATCAACAAAAGATAACAGTATTTAGTAGAAGGCATTTCTGTAATTTATGCAACGGAATAAAATAGCGAGTAAGAATCTTGTGTGTTAATTCAAAGAGGACACAAACCTGAAAAAGCATCTGGATAAATCTTCACTATAGTTCCCTGTGATAAGGTATTTTCCCTTATTTGGCTGGCTTTTCTAGTAACCTCACTTGTTGATGTAGTTACAATGAATTTTTAACAATTCAAGTATTTATTGACTGCCTCCAATTCACTTAGCACTGCCCTGTACAATAAAAGCTTTCTTTAGTCCGAAGCCATGGCACAGCCACTCTCAAAGTTAAAATGTGTGTGTATGTGCGAAAAGAGGGGAAGAAAGGGAGAGTGTCATGCCAAAGAACTTTTTTTTTTAAGGTGTATTTACCAGCTCCACTCCTTTCAAATTTGGAAGAGCCTCTTTGAGCAGAGACAGTTTTAATAATAAAATTGACAGTTGGCAAAATGTTTCGTCCAAGGTCATTACGCTGATCAGTGTTATTTCCCTCAGATACACTTCCCATTCTCACCCACTCGAATTCAGCAAGGTGAACTAAAAACCCCACCTAATCTCCCAGACAGCACATTTTTAAAAAGCTTAAACTAGCAAGGGCCTTTGAAGCATTCCATAACGGTGACAGCCGGCTGTTAATCTCTACTAGGTCTTTAACCACACTGACAAGCTTCCAGCGCCTTCGCTCAACGATAGGAGCCGCCCAACGATAGGAGCCGCTCAGCGATAGGAGCCGGTGAGGCAGAAAAGCAGGTGATCTGCGGAACCTCACGCATATACAGGGCTCAAGGTCTTCCGCATCGTTCATCTCATGATCCTCAAGGACCCAGGACAGGGATGGGATGGGGGAGCGACGGACAGCAGTAAAACGAAAACCACACAAAACACTTTCCCCGCAATCACAGCAAATGACAACGGAGGAAGCAGAAGAATCCAGTCATAGGGCTCACATCCACTTGTGATCTTGTCCTCAGGAATGTCATTCGAGCATGACATGAAAGCGTTCCCTACTGACCCCAGGGATGCAAGCACTGCCGGGACTCAGCAGGGTTCCTTTCCAAGTCCCCCGGGTGGTCACGCAGCCGACCCTTGCGGCCTGCCCTTCTTTGAGAGAGTCCTCCTTGAGACTCACCCTAAGTCTCCGGAGCGGCCTGGGGACACCAGGTGACCAAGCATGGCTGACTCCCGTGCTCAACCCTGCTGAAGGGCACCGCACACCAACCTAGGCCCTCCCAACGCCTCGCCCTGTGACAAGATTTCTGTTGGCGCTTGCTAGGTAAGATTTCATGGTCACAGGTTCCTACTCTCCTGGCATACACATTCTCACAGTTAATTCAACCGCATACCTAGGTACACTACAAGGAAGGAATTTTTTGCAGTCATTATAAAGGTGCGATCAGTTAAGAAAAAGATTGCCTAGCTGAGCCAATCATAAAAGCTCATTAAATCTTGGTTTGTGTGATAGAGACAAGGGAGTTAGAGATTAGAAGAATGAGGGTTATACAATGTTCTACAAGTCTTTGGTGGCTGTGATAAAAGTAAGCATAATCATTAACTCCCCTATTATGGAATTTAAGTCAGTCTGGAGTGGATAAAAATGATCTAGCTAACAGCTTGAAGTAAAGTAATAACTTCAACAATGACGAGAACTCAATTTCTGTTGCCAACAGTCAACTTGAAATAGGACCTTGTGAGAACCAAGAACCACAGCTCAACCTAAATCCTGGTCTATGCTTGATGAGACTCAGCAGTCTTGCTATAAACTCACGACAATAAATTGTTTCTTAAATGTGTATGGGTGTTTTGCTTGTCTTACACATCTGTGTACCATGTGTGTCTGGTGCCTGCAGAGCCCCGAAGGCGGAATCAGATCCCCAGGAACTAGAGTTTCAGATGGTTGTGAGGTACCAGGTGGATGGTAGTAATCTTCAAAGAGTACCCAGTGCTTTTAATGACTGAGACATCTCTACAGCACCAATAATTTGAATTTGCTAAGTTTGTGGTAGTTTGTTTTACAGCAACAGAAAATGAATACAGGGAATCAGAAGTGTTTATGTATCATAAATCGTAATGTTACATGTTTTCCCTCATCTTGACCAACTGTCCATGCTCTTGTGTTACGAAAGAGAATACAATCAGGACCCAGAAATAGATCAAACTTTCAGAAATATAATTTTTAAAAGCCTTGAAGCTAGAATATGACCTTTACAAATAGAGTGGATAAGGTTGAGAAGCAGTAGCACCAGGAGCAGGCATGGAGGCTATAATTCTCTCCTCTGTGCTTGTCCCATGCTGGACACTCTCAAGGAAGAGACATACTTCATGGAAGCCATTTTACCCAAATTCAGTCTGTCATATGTAGATGTATAAGATGCAGGAATATATATATGTAGGAGTTAAAGTACCCCTTTAGTTGAAAAGTTTACTGCCTGAAAGACTAATACTTTTTTTGTACCTTTTTCACTAGTGATGTTATCCCTGAAACTGCTGATCTGATTTAAATGTCTTCAACCATTATTATTTTGTTTTCACACCCTATTTTTGGAGTCATCAACTTTTCAACCACTATTACTTTTCATGCTTCTGCAGGGCTATGAACAGACATACCTATTGTTCTTTATGTTCTGTTTTGGGAGGCCTATTAAACAGTCTCTCAGGAGCTAACCTCCTACCTACTAAAAATGGATGGTATGCTAGATCAAGTCCACTCTCCATTCTAAGGATCAGGATATAGTGATAGTGACAGCAGGCTTGGGCAATGTCAATTGTCTTTACAGTCACACTTTTCTCATGTTTTTCTTGGGTGACATTTATTTATTTACTTATTGTATATTGTTCTCAGATAAAGTCTCTTACTATGTAGTCCATGCTATCCTGGAATCCATAATCTCCTGTGTTTAGTCTATGGGCATGCACACCATGCTTGGCTCTTAGATAATTTCTTTTTCTGCTTTCTACCAGTTTTTACCCAATGAAGGACAATTTAAAATGTCAGTATTCTTTCTTTTTGCAAAGTATTATGCTAATGATTTCCATGTGCTTATTCATTTTATCCTTTTAGTTACCTTGTTTACAGATGAGATCACTGAGTCCTGGAATTTTAAACCTTCTGTCCAAGGAAGTTCTCAAGTGGTAAGTCCATAGTGGCTTGCTTGAGGCACTAAGTTGACATGGTGGTAACATGAAGGCTTTCTTAACATCTACTATAAATTGGCTCTCTGATGTCCCCTAAAGATCTGTGTGCTACAGGATGGGTCACCAGTGCAGCCTACTGGTGTTATTGCAGAGTACTCTCTCAAAAGAAACAATGTAACTTTTTTTTTTCCTATCATGTTGTTCCTTGGCTGTGAAATAAACAGTCCTCTGCAGCTGCATTCTCACCACATGATACTCTAAGCTGCCACAGGCTCAGAACAACAGAGCCAATTAGATCCCTTACTGAGGAGCTATTGGCAGTGGTTAATTGCTGGAAGAGGAGTAATTGTTCTTTATTCAGTCTGTGACCACTGGTGGGCTTTTCATGCTCCAATGGATGGCCCCACACCCATATATTTATGGGCAATTTGAACTGTTCTTAGTGGCTTATAAAAAAAAAATCTATGAAGTTGAGAGGGGATGTGTTGGAGAGATGTGAGAGTTGGAAAGGCAAAATGAAGGAATGATATCATATGTCTGTATACATATATAAAATTATCAAATAAGAACAATGTTTGGCAGAATATGAAATGTCTTTCATTTATGGACCCTGTATCTTTTTGTCTTTGGCTGCTTCTGTTTCCTGACTTCTCTTTTAGACCCCTTACTTTCATGTTACTCTTTTTTATTTTTTATAAGCAAAGAAGCCCTTCGAATCCTTTTACAGTTCAGTCTAGGCACTCTTGTGCTTCAACGCCTCAGCTAAATATCACCTTTGTTATGAAGCCTTCTTTAAAGAGTCTTCTCTCTTACCTTTAGAAATACACACACCCAACCATTAATTTTATATTGACTTTTAACATAGCATCAAAATGATTGCCTAGTAACTGCTTGATTATTCATCTGTTCTTCCCCATTTATCATAAAATCCTGAAAGAATCATCTTCATGTTTTCCATTCTCAGCATGTAAGAAATGTACTTTGTTTTCAATAGATATTTGATGAGTGATTAAATAGATGACTGAACAAATGAGTGAGAACAAAGAGAAATTTTTTCCTTTTGATAATGATAGTATATCAATGATTCTCAAGCTTGAATGTGGCAGTGGCAAGCAAATTCTCAGAAATGCTGCATTTAGTATTAAATCAGAAGCCCTGAGAGTGAAATCCACATATTATAGTTCATTAGCCTTCACCTGGAGCTGAACCTGACCTACTTTAACAGCACATTCTGTATAATATGTTGAGAGCCACTGACCATCCATCTTTAATATGCTCATGGGCAAGTCATGTACAATTTAAGAGCATAAATTTTATTCTGTTAAAGGTAGATGATTAGATGATGTAACAGTTTAATTTCCTTTTCAAGACTATGATTCTCTCTCCCTATAATCTTTTCAAAATGAAAGCTCTGTTTGGTTGCAGAGACAGGTGAAACATTGAGAAACCAAGAGGCAAGAATCCATCACATAGCACTCTGCAGTAATCATTGAAAGCTGCTATAAAAACAACAAACTCTTGCCCTATAACCCATCCTGATCACCCTGCAGCCAAAGGCACCAGTCAGTGTTTTACAGGAACTCATTAGTGCACTGGGCCAACCAAACAGTTCTTGAAGGGAGGGTCCTGGTCTTTTGTTAGCCTTTTATGATCAGATCACGGTCTGAGTATCAAGCATTGTAATATAGTCCTGGCCTGCAGAACTGCCCAGGTACCCAACAAGATGAGAAGTTGAAAATAGTGGTGAAGGTGAGTGTGTATGTATTTGTACATCCATGTGTGCATGTGTACAGAGTACTCCTTCTGTTTTCCAAGAATCCCTGTCTTCAACTTCACACTGTATAACACTAGCTTAGGTTAGTGATGCAAATTAATTTAAACATTTTATGTTATGTAGGCAATGTCTGTAATAAGAAACTTCAATGATTGAAAATATGCTGTCAGTGAGTGGGCACAGCGGACTACAAAGAAGAAGTACATTATTCCTTGTGCATAGATATATTTGATATTACACTCATATGAATTTTAACAATAATGTGTGGTTGTATGTGAAGCACAGCAGTGACTTTATCACTGAAAGCCACTACTTACCAAGACTCTTCAAAACTTAGGAGAAATCCAACATCATTTATTTTAACAAAATAACCATTTTCAGGTATAACAATATATTACTATTTATTTCATTCTATATTTATCAAGAACTGTTAAATTCCAGTGCTAAAATGCTTTATTAAGAGGCATCTTTGGCTCATACATAAACTGAAATCTAAATAAGTGCAAATCAGTGTTCATTTCCTAGGCAAGGAAATATTTCCAATTAGTATCAACCAACTTCTGACTGGGATTTTCCATGTTAATTAAGCATTTTTGTTTCTCTTGCTTTCCTGAGCAACACATGAAGTTCTTCCCTACCTCCATATATACACTTGGGCACTTTAGTGGGAACCAAGCCACGAGTGGCTTGTTGCCTGATTCATTATTTGCTGTTTGTGAAAATAAACTCATTAGAAGTTTGCTGTGTCTGTAGTGCTGTTCTCAGACTCTTTGCTGTGAATGAAAATTGATGCAGAGATTCATGACTGGTCCTACTGAGAACAAGTGGTTGCTGAGTGCTCAGGCTTAAACAGTTTACCTGTGTATCATTCACCTCCCCCAAGGCTTACAAATCACAGAGAAAGAAGCAAAAGAAAAAAAATGTGAGAGCCATGTGATTGTTAAGTAGAAGGTCTGTGAAATAATGGTTAGGGGAACAGCATGGGCACTGCATTCATGAACTGACAGTAACTACATTTCCCTGTATAGGGCCTACATAAGACTGAAGCTGTAGATATTCAGTCACTGATGAAGCTACTGGCAGCTGAGGGCTGTTAGGGAAAAGAAAGTCATTGTCTGAAGTGATATAGCCACTGGTGAGTTATTCACGCTCCAGTGAATAGCTTAATACTTGTGTCCAAATTATGGTCCTCCTTAAAACCTTGTCACAGAGGTAAAATAACAAAAGGCAGTAAAATAGGATGAAGACTTGATGGAAGGACTGGGTGTCAGAGGAAGAAAGAATAAGAAAAGAAGAAGGAATGAGTTGTGATAAGAGTATATTATACCCATATGTGAAATTGGCAAAGGGTAAGCTAATTTATAAAATGTTTCATATGTATAAATTTATCTATTAATAAAAGGTACTCAAGTATTGGAGGATCATTTGGTGGCAGTTCCAAGAGGTTAAAGACAGAGACTCCAAAATAGAATGGTAATGTAGATAAGGATTTTTTTATACATATGACTCCTGGGAACAAAGAAGGAAATAATTTAGCCATTCAATGTGGACAAAAATCAAAGATGACACTGAATTAATATCAAAGCCCAGTTACCAGTGGAAACTTTGAACTTTGAACTCAGTGACCACCCACTGAAAGGGTGAGGGAAGGGGACATGTGTTGAAAGGAAGGGCTACTAACACCCAGGCATGCTATCAAATAGAAATCCAGAGATGGCATTCTCGGAGTTCTTTGACTTGGGTTGCTTTAAGCATTGTACTGTGCAGCCATGCTTAGAAATGTGTGGCAGAGAACTGCAAAATGCCTGTCAAAACCATTGACAAGTGAAAGACAGGCAAATTGGGAGGGAGAGGCTCACTTTCCATTTTGCCAGCTTGCAAACA